GGTCAGCTGCAGGACTCACCGCTCAGCACTAGGGGGCGCAAGAAGCTCGGGAACACAGTGAGGGCCACGCCCCGAAATCTCTCAACTTCCCCTGTCCCCGTCGCTCAGATTCAGCAGATCCAGCAGGAAGAGGACGCTAAGGAATACTCGGAAAGGCCTTTGTAGAAACAAATGAAGGGAGAAAATGCCGGGAGCTGTGGAGAGCCCACCCTCCGCCTGGGCCCTGCCTAGGAGAGCCCTCTTAAGCTCCTAGCCTGCGATCTCCAGCTCCCCTGCTGGAGGAGCCCAGGGGGAGCTCCAGCGAGGAACAGGGTGGGTATGGAAGACGGGCGGGCGGGGTCACTTTCCGAGTCACTCCAACTTGTACATCTAGCCACCCAGCATCTTAGTCAGCCCCAGTGAGTCACAGCTAGGTGTTCAACCCCCAGAAGCTTAGCTGAATTTCAGGCTGGGATCCAAGCAGGAGGAGTCTGAGCAAGATCTCCCAGGTAGTTTTTAATAATTCCTCATAGAGCTCACCAAATACTTTATGTCCACCGACCCACCTGTGTACTCACAGCCACCTGGGGTTGTAGGCAGAGATTATTATCCCATTTCACAAACGAGGAGACTGAGGTTCAGGTAAGTATCCATAGCTCTCCTCTCCTCTAAGTTTTTTTTGTTTTTTAAGATTTCTTTATTTTTAAGAGAGGGGGAGGGAGGGGGGAAAGAGGAGAGAAACATGGATCAGTTGTCTCTCCCAGGGTGCACTGCCAGCAGGGACCTGGCTGCAACCCAGGCATGTGCCCTGGCCCATCAGGGCTCCTACTAAGTGCATTTTGGAATCAGATCTGAGTAAATATGTTCACCATCTAAGTCCATGACAATGGGTTTCTTTGTGTCTCAGTTTCCTTAACTGTACATTAATATGCACACCTACCTCTGGGATTTTTTAAGGGTTAAATGAAATGTAGTGTAAAGCAATTTTATAATGACTGGCATATAGTAAAGCCTTGATTAATGGCTTCTAGTATATCTAACGACCATCATAGAACTGAAATGATCTTCCTGAATTAGTTCATTACTTGTATGCTATTTACTAATAAAGTCAAATGGAGTTAAGTGGGGATGCTACTTTGAAAAGTAGGTTTGAATGCTTCCCACTCCCAAAATTCAAGTCCACCTGGCACCTCAGAATGTGAACGTGTTTGGAAACAGGGTCTCTGGAGATGTCATGAGTTAGGATGATGTCATACAAAATTAGTGAGCTCTAAATCCAATATAACTGTTGTCTTATAAGATAAGGAGCCCACATCAAGACACACTGGGAAGGAGGCCATGTGAAGACAGAGGCAGAAACAGGGATGATGCAACCGCAAGCCAAGAAATGCCACAGGGTTGCCGGGAACTCCCAGAATCTAGGCGAGAGGTACAGAATGGATCTTCCCTGAGAGCCCCAGAAGGAACCAACCTTGTCAACACCTTGATTTAGACTTCTAACCTCTACACTGAGAGATAATAAACATCTGTTGTTTCAAGCCACCCATTTGTGGTAATTTGTTAGGGCAGCCCTAGGAAACTAATAGAACTCCAGGACTTTTAATTCCAATCTAGCTCTCTTTACTCCATCTTTGCCTCCCCAAGCCAGCAATAAGCATTTATGGAGCACCTACCTAGGAAGTTTACCTATTTGGAGAAAAGTTGACACAATTTATACAATCTTTAGCATTTCCTATTGAGTTCTTGCCTGACATACAGTAGGCATTTAATAAATATTTTCTGGCAAGTTGACAAAATAACATATAAAAAAGGCATATTGGCATACAAATTTAAGATATATAAACCCACTTTCTACTTCTGTGTACATCTTTGTACTCTAAATTTAATACATTTTATGTATGGAAGAATTACAAAACTCAGAACCTCGGTTCTCGAACTGCATTCATTCCAAAGGGGAAGCTTGGTTCTTGCACTTAATTCGTTCTGGAAGGCTGTTCAAGAAGCAACTTGTTCAAACACTGAATCTCTTTTGTTGCCTGAGAGAGGCGCGAGTGGCAGGAAAGGGTTGTCAGGTCGAGAACCAGTTTGTTCGACAGCCAGAGACATTTTTTTCCTTGAACAACTTGGTCGAAAACCGTATTGTTTGAAGTGGGAGACGTTCGAGAACCGAAGTTTGACTGTATCCCTCAGAGCTGCAGCCTGAAGGCCTCCTGAAGTTTACAGTCCTGCTCATTATCTACCGTTAGGGGAAAGTGTTGACTCCAAGAAGGAATATACCTGTCAAAAAGGACTCCTTGAAGTTAACTGGGTCCAAGTTCATAACTGAGAGTCCAGCGGCCATTGCTGGCACAGGGGTCTCACAGGCCCTGCCGCAGACTGAGCTAGCCACGCCTTTGCTGCTGCGCGCCTACGCCTGAGCTGCCTTATAAAGGAGTTCCTAACGTTGATTTCAACCAATGGGCTGAGACCCGCTCCACCCAATAGGAGGCATGCAGCTATTCATTTGCATCTCTATCTACCAATCAGAGCAGCTCCACAACAACCAATCAGAAGGTGTAATTCTATTTAATCAGGACTGTGCTTTTGAACCAATCAAACTGGAAGTTTTCAAATCTTCATTTGCAAAAAAATGGACCAATCAGGATCAGGGAGGCACTTTTAAAAAAGAGGGCTTCCACTTTGTCTCTGGTGTGTCTTTCATGTTCCTCTCTTCTCTCCAGCGGCTTTTTCCCTTAGAGGCTGCCCTTCTCCCCGCTCCCCGATCTTTGCAAAATGCAGAACTAAATGAAGTCTCCCATCCCACCCCACTCACACCTGAAATTGGGGGCTCCTGTTGGCATTGGATTGGTGACAGAAACCTTTTGTTGACAAAAGCAATCTGAAAACCCTCAAGATTCTGAATACTACAAGGCAAAGATGATCTCACTCTTGCTGCGCCCTCCCACGCTCAGCAATGGGCAGGAGGGATCCCTGGGAGCCAGGGGAGCTGCTGATTGCTATACAAAGGGAGTAGGCCACCGAGGGGTACAGCGTGGGAGTAAAATGGGTGGTGGTGGGTTAGCAGCTACAAATGGAGGAGGGGGAGAAGGGAGGGCTGATTCACTAGGACAACTCTGAGAGTGACTCAGAGGCTGCAGAAAATAGCCTGTTCTCCCACATCGGCCTCATTATCAGGCAATGAGGCACTTCCTCATTGCTTACCCATAGTCAGGGTGAATGGGAAGAGGAGGAAGTGGGATTTTTCTCATTCAAGGACCTATTCCAGTACCTAAGCTCTGTGTTTGTAACCACTTCAGACATTTTGTTTCAAGTCACTACTTATTGAGCACCTACTATATGCCTGGCCCTTGGTCTTGCCTTTCAGACTGTTAGTCTTCTAAACACAGGGAATAATGTCTTTTTGAAGTTCTGTACTTCCTACTTCATTACCTAGAAGGCACTTGGGCCGCTGTTGACCCTCTCAAGCCTACAATCAATAAGGGGAGGCAGGGAGCTTTTGTTCTGGCTCTAATGCTGATTTTACAGTCACGCAGGCCCATTCTCTGGACCTGTCTCCTTGTGAGAGTCAACAACAGCAGAATGTAGCACAGGTTTGGAGTTACACACCCTTGTTGGAAGTTGTTGCTTTCTGATTCACTAGCTCTATGACTGTGATTTCTCTGAATCCCTATGTTCTCATCTGTAAAATGGGGACAATGAAGTCTGTCTTACAGGTTAGGAAAGATTTTTCATATAGTAGTGAAGATTAAGTAAAATAAGTTGATATAAAAGTACCCGGCACAGTGGTAGTATAAAAACTGGTTACTTCCTTCCAACTTCCTTGTGATTAAACAGACTGACCACAGCCCTCCTCCAGACTCTAAATTGCGGAAGGGCAGGGCTTTGTCTGCCTTGAGGGCTATGTCTGCCTAGGTGAATACTAAGCCCCTAATAGTGTCTTGCTTAATAATTAAGAGTAGAAATAATGTATTAAAATTAGTACACTATTTATGCATTACATGCAATGGTATTATAAGCATTTACTGTATTTAAAATAATGTGGTTATTAATCATTTAACTAGCTGAATCAATCTGTGAACTGGAAAAGGAATCCAGAAAACTTGACCTCAAGCAGGGATGTATCCTCTCCCCGCTCTGGGCTTTTTGGTCCGCGTGGGTCTTGCTGCCACCAGCAAGATCTACCATTTCTATGTTCACAAGAAGGGGCAGACACTCCTTGCATCCTCTACACTGTCCTTTGTTCCAGCTTCAACGCAAACGCTGTTGCCCACAGTGTAAGGTGGCCAAGGACACACGAATAAAGTCCCTGCATTTAACAACCACAGCGTGGAAAACCTTGACACACAATTTGTAATTACCCATTCGACTTCTACCTGTAATGCAAGTCCGGCTGGGTTTACGCTCACCCGGGTACTACCCGGTGCCCCCACGCCAGGGGCTCCAGAGCTAGAATCCTCTCCCAAATGTAATGTGAAAAGAAAGCGGGGGAAGGCCTCCAGGGTTTTTTTAATCTTTGCGCCCTTGCTTCTAGCGCATCCACAAGCTCGTCCACGGAAAAAAGAGCAGGAAAGACACGTTACCAGGTTTTCAACAACTAGTTCTAAAGCAGACATCAAAGCACACTTCAAACGTAAATGAGGCCAATCCACCAGAGCACCCGCCATTCCTAAGCTTCCAGGACCAGGAGGGTAAAGCACGAAGCACTCGCCTGGCTCCTGCCCGGAAACCTCACAGAACGTGGAAAGTTGCAGAAGCCGGCCGGGAGAGGCGCGAGCCCACCCCCAAGCTCAGGCCGGAGTGGGGGAACTCTTCCTCCCGGAAGTGACGCGACCTCAATCCCAGTTTGGCTCTCCCCAAACAAAAGGGATCTAGGGGCCCTGGGAGGAGCCGCAATGACTTTGGATAAGCCCCGCCTCCAGAGGGCGCGGATTGGTGCCGGGTCTGGGGAGGAGAGGTGGCGATTGGCCCTGGTGAATGCCAGTGCCCCGCCTGGCGGTTGGGGGGCGGGGTCTCGAAGGGCTGTGGATGGGAGCGGGTGGCGGAGGCGGCGGGGAGCGGAGCCTGGAGCGCCGGGAAAAGGTAAGAGCCGCTAGGGCTGGGGCTTAGCTGAGGTTGGGAGGCCTTGCTCCCGAGAGAAAAGCAAGGGCAGGACCCCTAGGATCCTCCCGCCGCCGTCCCGACTGCTGCTCGCGCCGATCTCCGGAGGGGGCGGGGCTGTCTCTCCCACCTCCCGGTATTCCCCGAGGAGGCGGCTCCTCATCCTTCGAGGGTCCTCGCAGCCACTCATTGTCCCCGTCAATTCTAGCTCCGCAGAGAGGGCTCCCTTCCTGACACCCCTCATTTAAAGGCCTCCTTCGCCCAGCGCCTCCACCTTGGGGGAGGGCGCACAGGTTCCCATTCTCTAGGCTGCCGCCCCCACCCCCATTTTGTCCCCCCGGGAAGCCAGACATCCCTCCCTACACCAGCCCCCGATCGCTAAGGTGGCACCAGAGCTGGTTTCATCTGTAAGATAGAAATTAGCGTTTTCCGAAAAACAGGGATGGGGAGAAGCAAAAATCAAAGACCCGATCTAGCAGCCAGCTCCACGGACGAAGCGGCCTTCCCCCACTTAAGCTCTTCCCATCCCCCATGCCGACCCTCGGCCTTCCTCCCAAGCCCCCCGGATCCTCTGCTCTCCTGTGGGGGTCGAGAGCTCACCTGCGGCGGGACTCTTAGACTCTGGAGGAAGGAGAAATAGTAACTCCCCACCCTCTCGTCCCCCTTTGTACCTTCCCTCTACTCTTCCTTGAGGGAAAACCCAACTTCTAAGGGTTTTTTAGGGGAGAGTTGCGTTTCATTTTTGCTTTCCAGCCTATTTCTTCCCTGAAAGCTTGATGAAAAGCCATCCTTTTTATTTCACAGTGAGGCGAGCATGCTGGGTATCTGCAGAGTTGGCCTTGTGTGGGTAGGAGTGCAGGGTGTATTGTTCGACTGTCAGTGACTAACAGCAGGCTTTTCAACGAAACGGTATTGATGAGTAAATAAAGAGCATTAGATTAGGAATGAGTATCTCCCCTGTCTACCTGGGACTGGTGTGGTGCTCAGGGAGACTGCAGTTAACCTTGAAGGTGTAGTTATGTTGAAACAAAAGGCAGGAAGTGTTTGAAGAAAATTCAGGTTCTGTCGTCTAGGTTTATGATTAATCTGGTCCTTAGGCCTTTGGTTACTCCCATAGCCCCTCTTCTTATGGTGGGATTTTTTCCTCCCAGCGAAACTGATACATAGATTATGTTATTGATTGGTTTTACAAGACCCGTATCACCTACCAAAATTTAGAGGATGAAAAGTAAGAGCACTTTCTAAATCTCAGAGATAAGGACAAATAAAAACATAGTAAAGTCCAACTATTCTCACTCGTGTGTGACTACCAACGTGTCTGGAGTGTGCTCATAAAGGGCTTTGTCAAGCTGACCTTCATTTCAGCAGGTGCAAAATAGCGACGATTTTGGCCTAATTTTAATGCCATCGAATCCCTAGTAATCATCTATTGGTAGCCCTTCCATATATTAAAATTCACCATATTTTTAGCTTACTTCTTTTGCTTGCAATCTAAAGCCCATCTTACTATTGTTACCTATACAGCTAAAGCTAACAGCAGTGAGATGCAAGGACTTGGAATCACAGAAGGCGATTAGAACGGCCGTCTTTTACCTTCTTGATTAAACTTTCTAAAGGTAGACTTCCTGCAGGAAATTATTCTTGAATAGTTAGGTTCCAAGTTTTCAGAGCCACTCTCAGTGCTTACAGATCTGTTCAGTGATTGTTTCCAGATCTCCAGTAAAAAAAAGCACAAAGAAGAAACTGCGTGGAGGGTCTCTCCAGCCGATGCAAAGTGTGCTGCCATAGGGGGTAAGACGCGGGCCCCCAGCACCAGCTGCAGAGAAAACTCAAAGCAGAACAGGAAATCCCAAAAAGATAGATCTTATTACATGAGCAGAGAACAGAAAATAAACTAAGGTAAGAGACTCAGGAAACCAAAGTACTAGCGATTGCCAGGGCCTTAATGAGCAGAGAGGAAAAAGCAAATCATGCTCTTTTGATTATTTGGCACGGTGAGCAAGACCAGTTTGATACACATTTGGTCTTGGGAATTTTTCCTTTAACTTTTTCAGCACCTGCTTGGTCATAGTAGATGAAGAAAAGCACTCTGTGAAGATTTGTATGTATATGTCTAATCTATCTTACTAAATTACAAATTCTTTGAGAGCGGGTAGTATGTTTTGGTTTGTTTTTTTCATCTTTCTATTTTTCCAGTGCCTAGTATCTAGTTTGACTTAAATGAGTATTGAACTTAGCTTGAAGCTGTCACAGTAGGGTAATCTAGAAAGGTAATGTGCTGATAAGATATGGCACATCTTGTTAGTATAAACAGTCTATTTTTTGTCTTGATTTAACTTTATTTTCCGTATCTGATGTCTTAGAAAACGCCAGTATCTTAAGGGATTCTCAAATACTAAATTTCCTGTAAAAAAAATCTGCTGATTAAATATGTAATTTTGCTGTAATGAAATCTGAAGTACAAATATTAATGTAATCTGTGCTGGTCCTTTTAGGATTTTATCTTCCTGAGACTCTGACCCCAGAGGAATGAAGTGAATTTAGGAGAGCAAATGAGTAACTGATTGCTGATTTTTATTTTAAGAGTGGTTCCTGAGTGTGTGGTTTCCACAAGTTACTGATCTACTTTGGGATTTTTTCTAAATAGATTTTTAGTTGATATTGTGCTTTTCTGAACTAGCACTAGACAAATGAACAGGGGCAAACAGTCTAGGTACCTGAATGGAGTTATCAGACCGGTCCTGGTCGGCATAATGGGCTCAGGCTACAGTGGGTCTGTGTCCTGGCAGATTCTGGTTTGCGGCGCTACCAGTGAACTTGCAGAACAGGATTGGAATGCTTGCCTTTTCTGACTGGAGTGGAATGGTATTTCTAAGGGTTGCCACTGAAATGGTGTTTGGTGGCATGAGATAAGCAGAGATGTCTTTCTAGAGGAAATTTGTCTGGTCTGTTCGTGATTGATCCTAGAGATGGCTTGTCAGCCTGTTTCATTTTTTTCCTTATTTTCTGAATGTTGGCTGCCAATAACTAAAAACTAAGTCTTCCAAATTTCAGTTCAAAGCATTTCAGTGAGAAAATGACATTTACTGTGAGGCTATAGAGTGTGGTAATTCACAGCACAGATTTCTAAGGCGAACCTGGGTTCAGATTGCAGCTCTGCACCTTTTCACTGCCTGAGCCCTGGTGACATCTGTTTTCTGTCTTCACCATATCCCAGGTCCCTAAGCTGTGACATAAAGATACATAGATACAGATCACAAAGCAAGTTATTGAGCACGTAGGAAGCACTCAGTAATTGGTAGGTATTGGCATTATTAACACTTTACATGCATGGTAAAAAATTTAATATTAAATAAACATTCTAGCAATGGTAAAGAACTGGTGTCTGACTTTAGACACTGGATAATTTTGTTTAAATTCCTCAATATACAGCTAAGATTCCTAAGTAGAGGGAAGCAAAGCTTGTAGACAATGTCCTGACCTCAGACATGATGCAAGGATTTTTAGGAGATTATGTGTTTGTAGGATAGTGTGTTTCCTAATTTTATCATGCAAATTAGCCCCTTTAAATTTTTTGCACCGCCTCCCCAAAAGAAAGCCAAGAGCTTCAACTACCTGATGTCCTCTCTGAATTGTCCTTGTTTTACTACAGACTCTACTGTCTTAAGTACCTCTGTCCTGAGTGTCACACAGATGGTTTTGTGGCTACTGTGATATGGTACCTTCTGTGAGGTTTAAGGGCTTTTCCATGGTAATTTTGACTAAAAGTGATTTTTGCCTTTTGAAGACAACTCCCCACTGCATGCAAAGTAAGGAGCAGTCATAGGAACAACCAAAACAAGTGAGAAGAAAACAGAGTGGAGGAGTTAAGAATGGGGGCGGGGACAGGGAGGGAAACCGGACTACTAGCAGGAGCAGGCATGGATGTCAGGAACGCAGGAGCGGAGTGGGTAGATGGTTCCTCCCTGCCTGCCAGGTGTCTCCCAACTGAATTTCAGGTACAGGGCCAGAGCTTCCGCTCTCAGTGTGTCCTTGGCTACTGAAGGAAGGATTCCTTTCTGGCTTCAGGAGCCACAAAGAATGCAATCCTTAATTGTTATTGGGTTGGCCAAAAAGTCAGTTTAGTTTTTCCCATAAAATAAAAGACACATTTTTTTTCATTCTCGCCAGTAACTTTATTCACTTGAATATTCGGAGTATGTCAGCTGACTTCCGTGTGGTATAGCCTTGATTGTTTTCCATTAATGTCTTGATTTGATCGCTATCAGCTTCAACTGGTCTACCCGACCGGGGAGCATCGTCCAGCGAGAAATCTCCAGCATGAAAACTTCACAAACCATTTTTGACACATATGACACAGTCATAGCACCTTCTCCATACACTGCACAAATCTTTTTTTGTGTTTCAGTTGAGTTTTTACTTTCTTGAAATAATAAAGCACAATATGCCAGAAAAGGTTGTGCGTTTTCTTCCATCTTCAATATTAAAATGGCTACACAAAAATTCACCAGTTTTGATTTATTTTTTTAAATACATGCTGCTATGACAGCTGTCACAATAACAGAATCGTTTCGAATGAAGTGAAAGACAACTAAGCGCTACTAGCGTCACCTTACAGGAAAAAAACATACTTTTTGGCCAACCCAATACTGTTGTACCTGAGTTTAAAGACTATAGTCCTTAATTGTTACAGAGTTCAATAGGAACCAGAAAGGAAGACAGAGCAAGGGATGAGGGGGTTTACAGACAAAAAAGACTCCTGACCCTAAACCTGGAAGCACCTGTTTCGATCCTCTGTGCAAAAGCTGCTCGGCCAGGCTTGGCCAGGGGTGATCCGGGCCTGCTCTCCTTAGAAGATGAGAGCCAGAGGGGAGGAGGAGAGTGGAAGGGAGACGAAGCAGGGATGGCTTATTTTAACAAGAGGTAAGGACTGTAAGTTATAAAGGAGAGAAAAAAGGGAATAACTGACAGTTTAAGTTGTA